GGGGCGGGGGGGGGAGCAAAAAGAGGAGCCGATACCAAGGGCTCAACAGAAAGTGAATGTCTAGAAAAACATGATGCCTACTATGGACCAATATGCTTGCTACAACTGACCTATGGGTTGTTATAAGAGCTGGAGGGGCCCCCAATAAAATGAGCTTTGAATAAAAAACAGAAACAAAAAGGACTCAGACCGTGGTATATCTATTTTAGAACTTCCAGCTCAGAACAAGAACCCTCCCAGCAGATCTACTGACTGCATTCAATCTAAGCAAGGGCTCAGAAGGCTGAGAACCTGAGCCTGGTTTTCTGTTTGGTTAAAGGCAGCCTTTCCAGAGGCACAGGGTAATTTTGGTTTACGGTGTAATGGCCACCTTTCTCCATACAGCTGACCCCTGGAGCCATGAACATCACGATGCTGCAGGCCCTCAACGGGTCCGAGCGGTGCCCCCGAGACACGCAGACAGCCCGGCTGGTGTTCCCGGCCCTCTACACGGGCCTGTTTCTTGGCGGCATCCTGCTGAACAGCCTGGCCCTGTGGGTGTTCATCCACATCCCCAGCTCCTCCACCTTCATCGTCTACCTCAAGAACACCTTGGTGGCCGACCTGATCATGACGCTCACGCTTCCGTTCAAGATCCTCTCGGACGCGCACCTGGGCCCCTGGCAGCTGCGGGCATTCGTCTGCCGCTTCTCCGCGGTCCTCTTCTACGCGACCATGTACGTGGGCATCACCCTGCTGGGCCTCATCGCCTTCGACCGCTTCCTCAAGATCGTCAGACCCTTCAGCAAGTTCCCCGTGCAGAGGCCCGCGTTCGCGAAGGCCACCTCGGCCCTCGTCTGGCTGGTCCTGCTCCTCCTGGCCCTGCCCAACATGATCCTGAGCGACAGGGAGGCGACGCCGGCCTCGGTGAAGAAGTGTGCCTCTCTGAAGGGTGCGCCAGGACTGAGATGGCACCAGGTGGTGACGTACGTCTCGCAGTGCATCTTCTGGACGGTCTTTGTCCTCATGCTGGGCTTCTACGTGGTGATTGCCAAGCGAGTCTACCACTCGTACCGCAAGTCCAGGAGCCAGGACGGCAGGGGCAACAAAAAGCTCGAAGGGAAAGTGTTTGTGGTGGTGGCTGTGTTCTTCCTGTGCTTCGTCCCGTTCCACTTCGCCAGGGTGCCCTACACGTACAGCCAGACCCACAACCAGACCGACTGTCGCCTGCAGCACCACCTGTTCATCGCCAAGGAGACGACGCTCTTGGTGGCAGCCACCAACATCTGCATGGATCCCTTAATCTACATCTTCCTGTGTAAGAAGTTCACGGCCCGACTGCCCTGCGCGAGAGGGGGGCAGGCCACAGGCTCGGGCCAAGAAAACCACAGCAGCCAGACAGACAACATAACCCTGAGCTGACAGCTTTGTGCAAGGGAGCTTCAGAGACGTCCTGGGACATTCCACGATCAAGGCCTCTCCTGCGAGACTGACTTCCATGGATGAGGGAGGGGGAACTGGGATTATTGACAGGGGAGACTTCAAAGAGGGAGATTCTTGCTGCGAAGTTTTCAGCCAGCAAAGAAAAGCTCCCAGATGGGAGGGTCTCTCATCCGGGCTATCATCCTGCTGGCAAAAGAGAATGGCACTGATGTGAATTCGGCAAAGGTATTTTCTTCTGCTTCTTTCATTTTTTAGATTTTTAAAATCAAGGTAAGATGGATGCACGCTGTGCAGTAATTTAATAAAATATGAGCAGTTCCTTGCCAAGGGAATAAGGTTGTACACTAATTATTTCATTCCAGACTTAAAGAATACACCCAATTTAGGAGCAAACACCAAACCACCGTGAGACGTCTCCACTGATAAGAACAATACGCTAGGCATCGTGTGTCAGCTTCTCTCTCTGTAGTTGACACTCCCCAGTACTCCACACTCACGGCCACTGAGTGCATGCCAAGTCACAGTCACTTGCCCGACAGGGCAGGGTGGGACAGCTCCTGAGGGTTTTTGAGACTATACCTCATAATAAAAAAAAATTAATCATTTTATTGGGGGCTCTTAGAGCTCTTATCACAATCCATACATTCATTGTCAAGCACATTTGTACACTTATTGCCATCATCGTTTTCAAAACATTTTCTTTCTACTTGAGCCCTTGCTATCAGCTCCTCTTTTTACCCCCTCCCTCCCTCCCTCCCTCCCTCATGAACCCTTGATAATTTATAAATTATTGTTATTTTCATATTCTTTGGGTTGTGATCCATAAAGTTTTGGTTGTCTAATTTTTGTTTTGCTCAGTGAACTTTGTTTTAGTGAATCTCAAAATTCTATGAAGAATTTTTAGTTAAGTTGTTTTCATTTAAAAAGTATTGATTTTTTTAAAAAAATTTATTTTATTGGGGACTCTTACAGCTCTTATCACAATCCATAGACATATCCACTGTGTCAAACACATCTGTACCTATGTTGCCATTGCCTTTTTCAAAACATTTTCTTTTTATTTAAACCTTGGTATCAGCTTCTCACTTTCCCCCCTCCCTTCCTCACCCCCCTCGATAATTTATAAATTCTTCTTCTTTTTCTCTCACGTCTTACTCCAACTGCTCTCTGTCTCCTTTCACCTGTGTTTCTGTTGCTCACCCCCCTTAGCAGGGCCGGCTATATGTCGAGCATTGTGATCAGTTCCCCCTTTTGCCCCCACCCCCATAGTATCACTGCTCTCATAATTGGTGATGGTGCATGGCTATCAAAAGATACAGTGTCTGGGGTCTTAACAAGTGAAGGTAAACAAGTGGCCATCTAGCTTAGAAGCAACAAAGCCCACGTGGAAGAAGCACACCAGCCTGTGTGATCACGAGGTGTCAATGGGATCAGGTATCAGAAGACTCAGAACAGTTACATCGATGCGAATGAGCGTGGTGGGGAGCAGAGTGGAGACCCAAAATCCATCTGTAGACAATTGGACATCCCCTCACAGCAGGGTCCCAAGGAAGGGACGAGCCAGCCAGGGTGTAGTATAGCACCAATAAAACACACAACATTCCTCTAGTTCTTGAAGGCTTCCTCCCTCCCACAATCTCGACCCCCATTCTACCTTACAAATCCGGCTGGACTAGAACATGTACACTGGTACAGATAAGAGCACTGGTACAGATCAGAGCTTTCCACACAGTGAATCCAAGACAGAGAAACCCCTCAGGAACAGTAATGGGAGCAGCAATGACAAAGGTTCATTTCCAAGGGAAATGAGTGAACCTTAGGAGACTGCAATGGAAAGTGACCGGCCACTAGAGGTCATCCTTTCCAGAACACTGCTTTATACTTTGCAAAAGGTTTACTGTAGATAAATAAATGCATGTGCCTCAGAGTCCCCATGCGGCACAAACAGATGACCGGCTCAGGGGTTGACCAAAAGGTTAGGGGTTCAAGTCGAGCCAGAGGCAGTGCTAATAAAGACCTGCTGAACTCCCTCCGCAGCAGCAGCAGCAGCGGCGGCGGCGGCGCCCTAAGGGGCACAGCTGTGCTCCGACAGACACGGGGGTCCCTAGAGGCCAGGCACGGTTTGCTGTTGTTTCTCACAGTCTTAGACAAATGCAAACCCAACAACACAACTGTTTTTGTGTCCCACAAATGTCAAGCTATCTGGTCCTTAAACAATGCCCTCTGAGGTCCTTGGTGAAGGCTGAAGACAGGGATTGAAGGGACGCCAGGTAGGAAAAGACTGGGAAGCTGAAGGATTTCCAAAGCTCTCTCCCTCATTAAGCAGAGAGCTCTTCTCTATTACTGCAGGAGGCATAAAGACTCCCAGACTCACTGCCGTCAAGGTGACTCACCGTGGCTACACAGGGGTCCTGAGGCTCTGTAAATCTTCGCAGGAGTGGACCGCCTCATGTTCCTCCTGGGAAGTGGCTGGGATTTGAAATGCTGACCTTGCAGTCAGTGGTGCAACACTTACCTGGGCTCAAGGAGGCGTGAGCACCAGCATTAATGTATCCTTGTTATTCTAGCACTTCTCTAGACTGTGCACAGTTCAAGGTCAGGAATGACACGTTGTTTCCATTGGGGTTTCCCCTCTCCCCCATCAATACCAGAATGAGCACAGAATAAACTTTGGGCCTAAACCTCGTTACTCTACTCCCCACCCCTGGTTGAAAGATAACAGCTTCTCCCACTGCTGAAGTCAGAGTCCCCGCTGCCAACGATCCTTAGCTAGTTTGCTAGTTAGCGGCTTCCTTGACCTCATCTCTTAAAAGCACGGACAGCTTTTGAAAAGTGACAGTTCTTAAAGGCATGTTCACGGAATATCCCCCCTGCCAGACGCCTCGCACACCCTGGGCTCTCAGCGTTCCAAGTAGAATGTGTCTTGTTCTCCTCATCCGAGTACACAGAGAGATGGAACCGCTGATCCTGAATCCGGCCACATTCATTTGGGTAGACTGCTCAAGGAACGGTGGCCCATGGATCCGTACATCTGGCCACTGTTTCTCCTGGATCCATTAGCTGCCACACTGTCACCATAAGGTCAAGCCTACATGTCTGGCCCCGTCTTCACTGCTGTTCCAGCCTTTCGACGTTACACCCTCAAGGACACTGGTTGGGGACAGTCAGGCAGGCCAAGCTCCTTCTCCTCCCATGCCAGACACTGCACATGTAAATCTCCCTCCTACACAGAAAACCCGTATCCATCTAAAAAACATTTTGCCGTCAACTGGTCCATGAACAGCCGCCCACCACTACCTCAAACCCCATCGCTCCCTCTCCAGAAGGCTGTCGAGCCTCAGTTACTGCACTCATCATACTGCTTGGTCACCACTTGCTCACGCATGTGCCTACCCTGTCAACAACGATGTCAAACGTGGATGGCAGAGACCGCATCTCTTCATGCGATCAATAAATGCTTGATGCAATACACCCAACTGGTTTATTGTGACCTATCAGAACAACGATGGGCAGAGTCAAATCTCGAGCACGTCCTTGTTCTCAAAAGATGGTACGACTTTCTGGAAATGAAAGTTCAAATTCCTTTCATTTCATTTTCCCATGGAGTGTTGCCGGGGAGCTGGGGAGAGAGAGAGGCACCCTTGGGTCCAGTAGTGGTTACTCAGGGAGGAAGTGGGTACTAAACAGCCCGTGTCACTCTGGGGTTACCATCCATCAACATTTCAGTTCTAAAGCTACTTACAAAACGCTTCGGCTATGTACTGTCCGTTTCAGCAAGGCAAAATTTGTCACTGTAGCATAGGAGAATTTCTGGAATATCCTTTAGGAAGTACTCTGGATGTCTGTTCTTCCTTCTCTGAAAGTAAGGAACGAAAGCCCAGCAGGGAGCAGGAACCCCACTAATCCCCATCACCTGCCCGGCATGCATTCCACAGTATAGCAGATTGCCTGCCCTGTGTTGTATGTAAGTGGTTGCGTCTGAGTCTCCCTTGTTAAAATACGTGAGCTGTGTTCAGCGGCCTGTTCTAGGCATGTCACCAGTCGTGTAAACTGAATGTAGGCATTGCTAATGTCTAAGGCTGTCATTTCTTTAGACAGATCATGCCACATAAATTTTCAGTAGCAAAATCTGTCCACCATCCATACAAACACTTTAAGTCACCAACTGAGTGCCCGGCCACTTGGTTATGTATGACACCATTCGCAGGCCATACTGACCACACGTGCTCACCCTTAATGTGCTTCTCTGTGGTGACACGCGTGATGCCTCACAGCACTGATGGTTTCTCGGGCCAGGTCCCGCCTGTGGCCCACCCTGGGTGCAGAACTCAGGAGTCATTTAAAGGACCTAGAAACGCAACTCAACAGTCTGAGTTGTCATTTGAGGAGGCACAACAGATACCAAACACACGCGTGAACTCAGTAGCTCTCCAACGTTCACGAGGTCTCAGGATTACCTGATAAACATTGAAAGAGGCAAGTGGCTGGGCCCACGCCCCAAGTTCCTGATTTCAGAGGCCGGGCTGAGAGCTGAGAGCTGAGAGCTGAGGGTCTGCTTTTGAGACGGCAGATGCTGCTGATGTTCTGTGTCTGGGCCACGCGCTGAGAACCAAGGCCCTAGGTGCTCCTTGAAGCCCACAGCTCCATGAAGACGGGCTCACGTGGCCCTGCAGGACACGAATGAATGCCCAAGAGATGCGGGGCACCGCGGAGCACACAGCAGGAAGGGGGCAACACAAACCCCCGCCAGGAGAAAAAGGAAATAAACGGTCAATAAGAAAACCAGCAAAAGGCTTCGACAGCGTGTCACAGGCAGTATGGCCACCTGGAAATACTAGGCCCCACCTCACAGGGGCACCTGGTCCTCAGGGCCAACTACTGGCATAGGACAGAGTCTGGGTTCAGGATTGCCAGCTCGGAACGACAGCGGCACGCACTACAATTTATGATGACATATCAGGTCGGTGGACAAAGAGTACTCAATGAGGCTGCTTCCTCAGTAAGCCCTGCAAGCCCACGGTGCAATTCGCAGCTCCATTTCAGAGATGGAGTGGAGAAAGAGAGGGGCTGTCACTTGCACACAGAGGGCAAGGGGTAAGGATGGGCTTGGCATTCCGAGGCCAGCTTCCGATTCCATATTCTCCTAAGGCACGTGGGAGAAATCATAAATCCGGCCGCCGATTTCCTGTTGTTTTTAAACCTTCCGTAGCCACCCCCAGACTCGGACCCGGGAAAACAACGCACCATCGTGTGTGGGTTGTAATTGGTCCAGGTGCCGCAAGCTAAATAAGCTTTGCCCCAGCC